AGAGAGAGAGAGAGAGAGAGAGAGAGAAAGAAATAGTCTTAATTATAGAGAACTGATGGCTACCAGAGGGGAGGGAGCTGGGGGAATGGGTTAAATAGGTGATGAGGATTAAAAAGTGCACTTGTCATGATGAGCAGGGTGATGATGTATGGAACTGTTCAATTACTACATTGTACACCTGCAATTAATATAACATTGTATGTCAACTAACTGGAATTAAAATTAAAACTTAAAAAGAAAAATAAAGCACAAACTCATGATGATTTAAGAAGCCTGCATGTCCTAGTCCTTACCAATCTCTCTCCCTTGCTCTCTTGTGCACCAGCCACAGGGACCTTCTTTATGCTCTTAGAAAATTTAATCCTTCCCATTTCAAAGCCTTCCCACAGGCTGAAAGTCCCTTCTCAGAGCCCATCTGTCTGGTTAACAACTCCACATAACTTCTTTAGGAAAAACCTTTCTTAACCTCGAACTAAGTCAGTCCTCCTGACAATGCTCCCTTTACCTCTCTCTCACTGTGCTAAGTCTGCTTGGTAATTATATTCATAACGATCTACACTATGTCTTACACAGTAACATTAAGAGGTAAGGAACCGTTTTTTGATTACCACTGAATCCCCAGGAATCAACACCAACCACAATGCCTGGCCCAGTTTAGGAGCTTAAAACTTCTATTGAACAAATGAATAAAAGTTCAGAGGAGGGTTGGAGAAGCAGTAGCTATTAATCTGGTTAGGTACTTCCCTGTAACACTTATCCACATTCTGCTCAGCATGCTTATTAATATTTAATTTTTCCTTTCCTTCCTGAATTTTTAGCTTTGTTGTATACAACTATGAATGTTCCACTGCCTCCAAATGATAGTGAGGCTCACAGGAGATGCTCCAGGCTGAGGAAATGGTATGGAACTGAAAGGAATGTTAAATGGCCTGAACATAAAAGAGAAAATTGAACTCTTCCTTGAAGGCAGCTGTGGCCTGAGATAAGAACAGGTTTCCTGCCCTAATTTTTCCTTCTTTAGGGTCACTGAAGTTGACCTCTCTTTGTGGAGATGTAAGGATTCAAAAGGGCAACACTTACTTGTTCCCATGAGGAAATCATATGACGTTCAGCAGGAGGCTTTTCTATGATAGTCACGTCTGTCACACCTGGGGAAGATTCTGGAAGAGGAAAAAGAGTCTGTAGAGCTGCAATAGGCCCGCTCTTATATATTTCAATACTAGAGGCTGACTAACTGTTGATGAGTACTCTAGGAATATCAGATTCCTCTGAGCAGCATTTATTACCCATGTGATAAAAACAGGAAGAGGGGTGCTTGGGTGGCTTAGTCAGTTAAGCATTTGACTCTTGGTTTCAGCTCAGGTCATGATCTCACAGTTCATGTGTTTGAGTACCACATTGGACTCCGCGCTGTCAGCATGGGATTCTCTCTCCCTCTCTCTCTGCCCCTCTTGGGTTCTCTCTCTCTCTCTCTCAAAATAAATAAATAAATTTAAGAACACAAAAAACAAAACAGGAAGAACTGCTCAGTCTTTTGAAGGCACTCAGTCCCACAACCTAGGACCATGGAGTCAACCTGGCCGAAAGGACATCATTGAATACCCCCTACACCCAGTCACAGCTTAGTAATTCAGCTGTTGAACAAAAATCAGAGATTCTATGTTCCTAGTGATTTCATACTGAACATCTCAGTGAGCTGAATTTATGCACTTATGACATGGTCAAAAGGAATAAGGAAAAGCACCCCAATAAACTTTTACAAGATACGACACTTGTTTGCTAATTTTTCTTCCAAATAAAACTCATCTTCTACTCTATGAGATCCAGGGTTTAGAAGTTTAGGCTAAAATTATGGAAAATGGACTCTATCCAGAAATATACTGAAAACAAAATAAATCATGTCTCTAAATCTTTAAAACAGGAAAAGGTCTTTAAATCTCTTTGTGGAGATATGTTCCATCATTCATTCTGAGGTAAAAGAGAAGCCACCTGAGTTGGAATACAACAGATTTTAAGACCTCCTACATTCTCCACTTGTCTGTATTTACCCATACTCAGGATCTTTAAGTCCTTAATCTCAGACACAAAATCTTTTATCAGTGGAACTGTGTTCCTTACAAAAAAATACACTTTTGAAGTCCTAATCGCCAGTACCTCAGACCATGACTTTATCTGGATATGAGGTCATTGACTACGTGATTAGTTAAGATGAGGTCCCACTGGAGTAGGGTGGATCCCAAATCCAGTATGACGATGTCCTTATAAAAAGAATGCTTTGTGGAGAGACACACAGAGGGAAGAGGGCCACATGAAGGTGGAGAATTGGAGTGACACATCCATAATACACAGAACACTGAGGACTGCCAGCAAACCAGCAGAAGCTAGAAAGAGGCAAAACGAGTTCTTCCCCTCCAGGCTTCAGAATGAGCATGACACTGCCAACTCTTTGGATTCAGGCTTTTGGCCTCCAGAATTGTGAGAATTTCTTGTTCTAAGCTACCTGCTTTGTGGTACTTTTATGACAGCCCTAGCGAACAAAGCCTCTACTCTTTTCTCTTTGCCATACTGCACAGATTGTCCCCAATGTCACCACTATTTTAGGCCACGGACACTGCAAGTGTAGATGCAATCAAAGCCACACTCTGTGTGCCTGAGCCACCCTCAGCATACCACCAAAGGACCTTGTCCATAACTCGGCTTGCTTCTTATCTTATCTTTTCAGTTCTCCCTGTGATCTGGAGGATAAGGCCCTTACTATACTGGTCTGGCTCTAGTCCAAACTCTCTGTTCCAGGTGGGTCAGTTCCCTCATTGCCTCCACCCCTCTGTCCCCCACCCTGCAAACTAAATCTGCACTCATCTTTGATTATGCTGTATCCCTTTCCTATTATACACACCCAAATATGTCCATGTGTCTCTCCACCTACGCAAGTCCTACTCACACTCCAAGGCCATGCTGAAGTTCCACCTTCTCCATGAAACCATTTCGGATATTTTTTTTTTTCCCTGATATCCTAACCCATCACATGCAGGGTTGGGGTCACATATGTTTATACTTAAGTATATTCTATTTTGAGCCATATCTTGGTTATTTACTAGGAGTAAATACTGTAATCAGGGAATGTATTCAAATGAATTTTTAAAATTTCTAAGAATATGACAGAGACTTCTAAACTAGTTTAATGTGTAAAATGGTTCCTGGACCCAATCCCTCCGACATTTTTGTGGGGAGATTTTCTCATACCAAGAAGCAATTCTTGGATACCCCGATGTCCCACAAGGAGATGGCATCAGATCCCAATGCTTATGGGTTCAGTCTGTAAGACCTTGACCTTCCCCTTCCCCACTTCAGACACCAGACACAAGTTCAGGTTGTCACCTGTGCTTCTGACTGATCTGCAAAAGACTGGGGGTTCTCATGACCCCCTCTTCTCATACTTCAGACACCAGTCAAAAGCCCAGACTAGCTATAAATCAGGAGGTTCCTCAGACCCCCTCCTCAAGTTGCATTAATTTGCTACAGTGGCTCACAGAACTCAGAGAAACATTTTCCTTACTAGATTCCTGGTTTATTATAAAAGGATATAACCCAGGAACAGCCAGATGAAGAGATGCTTAGGACAAGGTATGTGGGAAGGGTCACAGAGTTCCATGCCTTCTCCAGGCAGGCCACTGTCTCCAAATCTCCAGGTGTTCACCAACCTGGAAGTTTCGGGTTTTTATGGAGGCTTCATTACACAGGCATGATTAAATCATTGGCTGTTGCTGTATCCCAAGATATGAACTTTGTGACAACTTAGAGGAAACTATGATGCATAGAAAGGGTACTAGCATAATTACAGAATCAGTGAACCACACTGTGATATTCTGACCTCTAAGAAATATATATTTGCTCACTCAGATGACAGCTGACCCTTGAACAAAGCAGGATTAGGGCTGCTCACTGCCTGAAGGTCAGGGGATGGGACTGAAAATGCCAATCCTCTAATTCCATGTTTGGATCCACTGGCAACTAGTGCTCATCCTTAAGTGCTTTCCAAAAATCACCTCATTAACATAATGAAAAATCTTTACCACTCTTAACACTTACGAAATTACAAGGGTTTTAGGAGCTGTAAGCCAGGAACTGTGGACTAAGACAAAATATACAGGTGACCCTGGACCAATATGGGTTTGAACTGCATCGGTCCACCTGAACACTTACTTTTTTGAATAAATACAATATGATACTATAAATGTATTTTCTTTTCCTTATGATCTTTTAAACTTTTTTTTCTAGCTTACTTTAAAGTACAGAATACAATACACACAACATACAAAATACGTGTTAATTGACTGTTTATGTTATCGGTAAGATTTCTGGTGAACTGTAGGCTACTAGTTACATTTTTTGTGGAGTTAAAGTTATATGCAGATGTTTTACTGCACTGTTGGGGGTGGAGGACTGAGGAGCCCTAATCCCGCTTTGTTCAAGCTTTCACCTGAGTGAGCAAATATATATTTCTTATAAGTCAGCATATCACAATGTGGTTCACGGATTCTGTAATTATGCTAGTGCCCTTTCTATGCATCATAGTTTCCTCCAAGTTGTCACAAAGTTCAAATCTTGGGATACAGCAACAGCCCAATAAAGGAGGCTGAGAATGCTGGACTCCATATATTCTAGTCTTGCTTTATACATTCACCACTCGTGTGACCTTAGATGAGTCTTCACTTTTCTTAGCATTCAGAGAGACAAGACTCATAAGAATATTTCCCTTGATAATGGAAGCTGAAGAAGCAGAGATAATGGTGCTTTGGAAACATAAAAAGTACCATATACACAATTTTTTTTTTTATGCTTTCCGGTCAATGTTCTTTCTAAGATACTGTGAAGCACAGTACTAAGGTGGAAAAACACTGTGAGCTTTAAGCCGTTACACTTGGGCTAAGTCCTTGCTATGCCCCTGGCTGATTAGGATGGAAGATGCTGTCTCGCCCTTCAGGGGTGGCCCATTTGGTAATGTTCCCACCAAAGGTAAGACAGTGAATAATAAATGTTATTACTGACACTTTATAGCGAGGACAAGAGGGTGAGGATAGGCCACTCCAAGTGGCTAGGCTGACTCCATGTATGGGTCTAGTTAAGAGTTTATGTACAAACCTCATTGTGTGCCCCTTAGCAAAGCCCTTTAGCAATTAACCTATGCAAATGCAGACTCTAGCTTTAATCAGTCTTAGCAGCCTATTACTCCAACTGCAGTAAAACAGCACAATACAGAATTCTTTGTCAACAATCCATTGGTTGCATAATGATGTCATCTAACTACACCCAGGAGGCAGTCTAGTGCGTAGGGTTGCTGGAGGACACATATTTCATATAAACCAGTATAAGCACCTGACATTAAGCTTTTGATTGCCAACCCACCCATTTCAAATACATTCATCTTAAATAAACGAATTGCCAGCTATATGACACAGCTACAATCTAAACAATCAGGAACCAGGGCACCCCACTCATTAAGTTCCCCTTTTAAAAAGCCCTGAGTAACTGGGGTAACTGATGGTTTGACTGACCTTGCCTTTCTCCTCCCATGCCCAAATTCCCACACCTAAATTTTAAATTCACCAATAAAGAGTGATTCTGTGAAACCCTGGCCTCCCCACCCTTGGGCCCCAATAAAAGATACAGGTCTGCTCCTCATCCCCACCATCGGGCTGTGTGGCCCTCAGGCCTGGCATGTGCCCTCTAGGACCTGTGCACAATAAATCCTTTCTTCAAAGTTCCCTAACTGTTGTCGCTGAGGTGCAGCTTGCAAGCATAGTAAGAACCACAGGTGCCAGTCCAGGTGCAACATTAACACTGGCTCCAGTCAGGAAAATGTGGGGGCTCATCACCAATCCTACATGCCCAGGTGAGTGCCTGAGGCATTCCTAGCCGATAGCATCACTATGAATAGGCTGAGACAGACAAGCACACAATGATTCAGTGGGTAACAGGTTCAGTTTCAGGGTCTACAAGGCTTAAACAGAACTGCTGTGATGCTATTACAGATGAGGGTATGAAACTGAATAAAAGAAACTTCATTTAAAATGGAGTCAGGAGGCCAAAAGCGGGAGCCTTCAAGGTCTACCACTCTGTCAACTTCACACTTCAACAGAAAGAGAAGTACCCTGCATTC